GAAGATGAGAGCTGTGGGAAGACAATTACATTTTATCCTGACTCTGTAGGCAGGGAGGGGAGGTAGCTTGCAGCTCATGCTCTGAATACACAGCATTGATGTTTACTTTAATTAGCAGGGATTACAGGAGTTAGCATTACCTGTAGCATCCTGTCTTTAAGATACTGAAGACCAATAGATACATCAAAAGAATACTGGAACCTGCAAAAATTACATGGGACATAATCTTCCCCCCTCATGAAAACATTTATTTTAATTTTTAAAGAKTAGGTCAATTTAAATCCCAGCTCATTAGGTTTTTATCTTCCTTTTAGTTCTGCACATTTTTTGGTATGAAAAAAACTGTACTAATTCAGGATATCCTTGGATATTCTTTTTATCCAAGTGCCTGTCTAACCCATGTTTAAATCTTAAATTTCTTATCATCAGTACCATCATTGCTCTCTTTATGCAATAAAGGAAGTATCAATTTTCATAACTTTTAATAGATTTTTTTCATTTTTATACTTCCAAATTTGACATTGTTAAGCTTTGCTGGCTTTATAATCAGGCAGTGCATGTTTCTAGTTTACTTATCCTGTTAATAATTTAAATATATTTTCTAGTTTTTTAAGCATTTCTCTCCTTTCTGGGATAAATAATAAAAATATGTCCAGTGTCTTCGTACAACAGGTTTTCATTGCCCTAAGTATTTACTTTCTCTGAACACCCAAATTCCACATAACCCATTTTTAATATGGGCTCCTGGCRTCTGCACTGTAATCCAGTTGATGTATGGGGTCCAGCCATACAAATAAAGTAGTTMAAGATTCCCATTTCTTTTTATTATTGTAGTCTAACTCTAGCTTTTCTTGTCATAAATGCCTRTCAAGCGGAAATCTGAAGTGATCTCTCTTCAGTAGTCCTTAGCTAAGTACACTTTCCAGGTTTATGTAACTAAGGAGATAGGTTTATATGGATTTTTCTTCAGTGTGTATAGTTCAGTTGCATTCTGCAACTGTTCTTATTAGCATCCGAMTCCTGTGGTCATGGTGTAAATTCAGCTGGGACACTTGTCCTCTGCTGAACTCYTTTCTCCCAGTCTTGATTTAGCTGAAACAAATGACCATGTGTCTTCTGAATGTTTTGCTATTTGGCTCTTTGCCTSCACAGCTTGAGGTGATTAGTAAGTATGTTATTAATAAAAAGTATTCATAAATGTAATACTGCCACTTTTGAACTAACAAAAAAAGCTGTGTATTACAAAAGTCACAAGTTAAACCATCTCTAACCAGGTAGTCCCATCAGCTTTCCAGTGTTCACAGTTCGTAGGCAGGGTTGTTTAGGCAAGCAGTGTCTGTTTTTCCAACTCTGGTTGTTAATAGCTGTTTTATTCAGTTAGTTTCGTGTAGAATACTTGCTTGAACTATTGCAGTTACTAATCTTTTCTCAAAGTATGTGCGTGTGGGTGTCAGTTTCTGACAAGTTGGAAGGTAGCCTGGAAGCAAGGAAAAATGAGACGTGTGCTCACTTTGCTCCCATATACCGTCCATGCCATGGAGACTTGTTCCTCACTAGGACACTTTCAGATCCCTGTCTCAAACTGAGAAGTCCTGGTGTTGTGGCTGCCAGGGAAATGATGCCAGGGAGCAGGGTGGGCCAGTGTGAGCAGGGCAGGAGGAATAAAAGGAGGCAGTGGCACCCACAAGAACAGAAGGATGCTGTTACACTGGTCAGCAAAGCTTGTTTAGACTGGGCACACAAAAGCTTAGAGAGGAGACGTACAGGTTGGCATTCATTTGTATGTGTGGGGAGGTTAAGGTTTCAAACCAAGCATATTTTCATCTGTTACACTGTAAATTGCAAGAAYTAAYAGGAATTGACAAYCTTAATTTCATCCATTGTGGCCTTATCTACACACACAGTTTAGTRAGTGTGAATGTTCTGTGTGCATGGTCCTGCACATCTTGGTAATCCTGATTGTACCCAGACCTAAAACAATGTTGTGATCAGTATATCTGGAATATGATGCCTTGATGCTCAGAAATCTGATTCATCCTTTTTCTCACAAATCACTGTAAAAGAGASTGGTGAAGCTGTTAGAATGCAAATCCTGTGATGTATAAGTGCAAGGAAGATTGAACCAGAGTCCTTGGGACCTGCAAATAACACAAGACTGAGAGCTTGTCAAAAARCTACAGGTCACTGGAAACTCACTTMAACTGCATGTGTCAAGACGCAAATCTTGCAGGCGSCTTCCTGCATTGGTTGGTGCTTACAGTATGAAATGAGGAAGTTCCTTTTAGGTGTTTGCAATTCACATTAAGAATTTGTTTTTCGAARTGTTGGTATTGTAGGGGAGGGAGTAACTTAAACAGTTAATCCTTTTGCTGATTACATATGCAAAAGATGATGTGATGTAAGTGTGGAAGCCAAGCTTSTAAAACCAGAGGACCTTTGCTGAATCGTGTATAAGAGGATTGGAAATTTTTGCTAGAAAAACATTGCATTTATCTGCAGGAATTTGTCAACACATTCACCTTTGTGGACATTGTTAAATACCTGATACTTKTATATTTCATCAATTTCTAATCCCAGTTGACTCCATGCTGGAGTCWTGATTTCTATCAGCAAACAAAAGCATTATTAGTTTTGCAATATACATGATTGTGTAGCTGAGAAATCGATTTTTTTAAAGTTCTTTGGAGATCCTTGGCTGGGAGATGTTGCTGATGTAAAAGACGTGCCCCTGAAATGGTTCTGATGAGKCTGGAGTCACCATAATGCATGCATAGAATTGGGAAAAAGTTGTTGATTTGCTTACCTTGGACAAATGGTAAAATGGTAATGGAAATGGTCAAAATCAAAGGGACGCCTACCATAGTCTGGTTTGTAGTTTTCAAAATACAGAATACTCAAAAGAAGAATGGACATTCTCATGGAGGACTGAATGTTAAAATAGAACTTATGTGTTAAAGTTGGGATAGAAAGCCACTTAAACAGTTGKAATTAAGTTGTTAAAAGGTGTTTGKTAATGTATATTGCAAATAGTAATAGTGCATRAGTGTTCTTGTGTGCTTTTTGAAAAATGAAACACAACATGGGAAAGACTTGATATTGTACTTGCATGGATACAGGCTGCTCTTGAAATTCTTATAAATTATAATATCTAGACTACTTAAAATGCAGTGAGTTTACAATTAAGTATTTCATAATGAGTTTATGAGTATATACATACAGACAGAGTATTATTCATCTGTGAGCATGTCAGACTAATATTTGGTTTGTAGCACAGGAATCTTGATGGTGAGAGAGAGGTGTGACAAAATTCCACTGCTTAGAATAATTTAATTTGCTTTTTTTTTAAAAAAAAAACCCTATGTTTTCTTTTATTGTTTGTTTTTAAGGAAAAACAGGTTTAATTCTTTTCCTTCTTTACTGATGTTGGAATTAATATTTGATACTTTTGCATATCAGTGTTCACACATACATACCAGCACTTTTGAACAGTCATTTTCAATAGTAAATACACAGGTTTTGATTTATATACATTGACTATCTTTCAAGGTAGAATGCAGTTACTGCTTTGAAATTCTGTTTTAGCTTTCTTGATTTTCAATTGCTCACTGTAAGACAGATATTTCATATTCAGGTTTGAAGCGTGACTCTGGTGTTTTAGGCAGTATAAAAGGTATTCTATTTCCTGTAACACTGATAGATAGTTTACACTGAAATGGAAGTTTTCCTGACTTGATGTTGAAAATTAAATGTCTGGAGGATGGACACAGTCCCACCACCTGAATGAATGCTTCTAAGTCTTTTCCTTGCGRGGGCCAGCTGAGCTGAGGAAGGAGAGGGGCGTTTCTGCTTCTTTCCACCTTTCTTCTAATCTGAGCATCCTCTGACTCCAGGCCCCTTCCCAAAGCAGAAATGCTCTAGTGGTTGTACTGGACCAGCTCTGAAGAGAGYTGCCCCAGGGTAGCCAGAGGCCTGAATAGATTGGGCAGCACAGGGAGGTRCACAGAATTAGTGTTGTGGCCATGGAGGTAACACCCATTCTTAATATTTGGTATTTGGCGTTCTGTATAATAYAGTAGCATTGCTATATAATTTCCTTGTATTTTGAAGTTCWTTTTTATATCAAATATTTTYATATCACTACTTAAAGAAGAACTGRAAAGTGATTTTTCTCAAATCAGTGCAGAATTTAACAGTCATTGCACTCTGCCTACATGCATGGGTTTGGAAGTTATGCAACCTCTTTTTATAGAGTTGTGTGTTCTGATGATCTAGGTTTGCTCAGTTAGTGCTTAGGAATGTAAGYGTATTAGGAACTATATATGATAAAAAACTTAGGTCATGGCAAACTACTGTATACCTCTAAATATAAAAACATTTGTGGTAAGGTTCATTAGAAATTGCTTCCATCCATTCCAATCCATATACTGATTTTAAAACTACTGTGTGGAAAATGCTAAGTTGTTGTCATGTAGAGCCATACACTGTCTGGTTGTGGAAAGGACTTCCATGGAGATACTGCATATTTAGTTCAAAGGTGACCGATGACTGATGCCCAGCACAGAAACAATTGTTACTGGTTATCTGCAGACTGCAGCTGGGGGAAGAGGGAGGGCTGTAACAGGGTATGTTGTCACCTTGGCCCTGAGGGAGTGTCCCTCCTGACACACTCATGGGTCTTTATTCCAAATTGCAGAAGTTCTAGGTCATCATAGTGCAATCACTCCGTTTTTTTAGGATGAACAAAACACATTTTTTCTGGTYTCATTGTTGGAGGAGATTGGACTTGTTTTTCAGAAGCATTRCACACAGAAGGATCAACCTGAGGCAGACACCTGGCATGAAAAGAATTTGCCTGAATACTAATAGTTTGGCAACATTTAATAAGCAAATTAAAARACTATGTGGTAATGGGATTTCAGCTGCAGTGATTGCTGCCAGATCCACCACGAATAATGGACTTGCATACCAACACAGACTTACAACAAATATTGTGATTGTAGGTAACTAAATGACCATGGAATCTGGAGCAGAGAACCAGCAGAGTGGAGATGCAGCCGGTACAGAGGCAGAAACCCAACAGATGACAGTACAGGCACAACCACAGATTGCAACGTTAGCCCAGGTATAAAAATCATATGGTGTAATAGTTTTACCTATGGTTAATATTTTTAAAAGGGATAATGTCTGCCCATGGGCCTGAGAGACGATTCTATTGATACCATTCTGATACAGGTGCAATGTATATAGTTCCTTTAATATTTGTCTTCACATTTTTAAAGCAGTAGAGATTTTTAACTTCCCATCACACTTGGCTRTGTTAGTTCTGAAAACTGTATGTGTGTAGATTGTGTAATGTTGACACAGTAATGAATGAAAATATTTCTGGCATCCCTTACTGCAACCATACCACTGAAAGGTATTTTTTTTCAATACATGTAATCTACTGTCTTTTTTATATTGACTGGATTTTGCTGTTGTGCTTTCTGTTAAAAACTTACCTGTAATAGTTGGTTCAGCTCTGAAGAAAACAAACTGAATATATAGGTAAATAATGCAGCAAGTACAGCATCTTATCAGATGGGATTAATATTATAATCAAGTGGAACAATCTGGCAGCTGGCAGCTTGTGTTACCCTGTTGGCTCCAGAGTTTCACAGAATTGCTGACGAGTTAAAGAGACAGAAGTAGATCATTTGTTATCACCAAACTATTTTGGAGAGACAAGAAATGYAATCCCAACTACATCTCTGATTTTGGTACCAGGTTTCATTTGAGAATACCCTGACAGTTGGCAGAAGCAACTCCAATGTATAAATGACTACAGAATCTGTTTGGCTCTCCTCTGTAACCATTGAATTTTAAAACTGTTTGTAGTCTGCAAAGAGCAAGCAGGTGTTTTTGATCTCATAGTTTATGGAATTGAGTGTCTTTTAAGTGGCACAAGTGTTAAATCACTTAACATTTTATAAATTATTAGTGTCCTTTTAAAGTCATTACACCTTTTGGTAATCCAGAGGTAGTACACTTCCATTCAAGTGATAGTGTAGAGATTGGAGCTGTTCAAATGCACAGGGTGATTCTGTTTGGTGAAGCCGTAGTGTGAATTTACAAGCCACCAGCTGCCCTGCACCAGCTTGCCTCTTTGGGCAGTTTTCTCACTGTCTAACTTAGGCACAGGATGTAGGTGGTGTGAACAGCACTTCAGTGTGAACTGAGGAAGTAGTTTATTTCTCTTGCAAAACCAGTAAACTGCTTCTCACTTGATGTGCTTTAAGGTYTAGTTCCAGAGAACCAAGAATGTTTTAAATTTATGTGCTAACATACTAACCTCCAGGGAGCTGAACCTAAAAGTATGTATTGGGTAGAATGCACTTTATTTGGACATAATAACCCAGTAGYTGAATGAGATTTTTTTCCAAGTAAGAAAACGCTATACAGGTATGGTTAAAATCCATGTGAACCACCATGTTGTTATTCACTGTATTATTTGCATCTTAGCTTTTCCCTGTGCATAGTCTGTGGAGGTGAWACAACAGTCTAAACATAATTCCTTGTGTTGTTCACATCAGTGTTACATTACTATGATATTTTTAGTGAGTGAAGTGGCAGTGTTTGGCATTRGGGAGTGCCATCAGAGGCCTAGCCAAATCTAAGTAACTAATTATGTCAGTGTAATTCTTTCATTATCTCTTGTAAGGTCACCCCTCTTGCAAACTTAGTTTAATTGCTGAATTTTTAGCAAGTTCAGGGGAGTTTTCAGAGTCAAAAGGAAACTCGTCCCAGTTCCACAAGGTATGAGTCAGAGACATCTGCGGAAGTTACACTCTGCTGTGGGCTTAATCCARCCACAGTGGCCTCCAGTTGATCAGCTCTGCTGTTATTGCCAAGGAWTGTTTAGTCAGACGTGCATTATTAAAAAAGATCACTTGGTAAAGGAATATAATTTGCCTGAGGAAAGTGCACTCGTGTTAATCTCAGCCCCAGTTTCTCTCAGATGCAAGTTAAGTACCACCATGTAGTGCTGCAGCTGCTTTCCTGAAAAAGGAAGGTAAAAGCAAATGCAAATTGGTGGATTAGGGAGAGACAGCTGTGGARGAGAGAGGTCTACATGTAATTCCCTTTAATTTTGTTGTTAAGCAAGGTTTCATTGTAAGTGGTGAATGTTTATGGAAATTCGGAGATCAGTGTTTCGAGAACATGTGTTCACAGGGACAGCAGAGGATTTCCTTCYGCATCCAGTACATGACAGCCCTTTGAGATTAGGTAGGACAGCAGTTCAGCCCTTTCTTGCACTGCCATTCTGTGGATCTGATTTTTTTAAAATGCTGTTGAGCCCTGGAGGATTGTTAGATTTTCCAGACCTGGGTGTCTAGAAGAAGGCTGGCTAGTCAGTGACCCGTGACCTGGCTGAGGTCTGCCAGAGCAGCTCAGTCCTTCAGAGCAGAAGGACTTTGCCTGCAGTCCTTCCCTGAGGGTGATGATGTATGGGAGGGATGCAGGCTGAGGACAGGGCCAGCCCTGGTACCCCCCAGTCTTCCAGGAGCCCCCCAGCCCCAAAAATGTGCATCATGGCACCAGAGAGGTGGGAGCAGTGGGCATTGTGCACTGGGCATTGGCCCAGCCATGGAGCATGGCACTTCAGCTGCCCAGAGTAGTTCCCGTGGCCTGCCAGGGTGACACTTCCCTGCCATGTGAAGAGCTTTGTGTGGCTACTGCTGTCCCCAGAGGCCAAKCCCTYMTRTGCCATGCTGAGCTCATCCGTGTAKCCCTGTTGGCCTAGCTGCCATGCCTGTAGGTCTCTGTGGAGAAACGCATTTGGGTTTAAAACATGGGCAGTTTTTCCTCATAGAAATAATTCTTGAGTTTGTGTTGGTCTGTCACACTGAATCACAATAACTGCCTACAAAATACTTATTTCCACCTCAAACTAATGGGGTTTCTGTCTCAACACATGGTCAGTTTTCTTGATTTACATACACTTTGCCAGCTACTCATATGGCTTAATCTGTAGAAAGGTTTGACTTCCCAAAAAATGTTAAATTCTTACATCTGGCAAACACTTTGCATTTCTTCAGTGAGAACAAAAATAGCTCCACTGCCATATGTTTCTGCCTCTGACTCAGCAGTGTCTGTAGGAGTACACCCGAGTCTGAGCAGTATCCAAGTGAAGTAAGTGAAAGGTAATGATGTGTTTGTATCAGGTTACCTCCAAATAGAGGCAGTTGTGTTTCTCTTATTCTTGTCAGTGATTGTACAAATTATGTTTGGGCCTGCAGAAGTTCTGCRTTAGATTAATTTGTGAAGTAGGTYAGGTATTTGGCTTAGGCAGTTCAGRGGGWTTTATATTATGCCGAAACATTTGGGTCATCTAACTGGGGTCTAGAAGAGACATARTGCTTTCACCAAAAGGAATACTGARCTGAGGAGATTTTGCAATAACCTAATTCATGCTCACTGTCTCTTTTTTGCAGGTATCTATGCCAGCAGCTCACGCAACATCTTCTGCACCCACGGTGACCTTAGTTCAGCTGCCCAAYGGGCAGACGGTTCAAGTGCATGGAGTAATTCAGGCTGCCCAGCCATCAGTTATTCAGTCTCCACAGGTCCAGACAGTTCAGGTACTGACAGAAGAAATTCCTAATATGTGAATCAGGCCTTAGAAATAGGCCAGTCATTGCACTGGTTTTAATGTACTTGTGTTTTTGCAAATCTGTACAGTATTTGCTACTCTGTGACCTTTTTTTCCTGTTCTGGCATAACCACTTTTCATTTTCAAACGTTGCTGAGTGTCCCTCTAGAATTTGTTTGGTGAGTTTAACAGCTCTATAGTTTTTCTTACAATATCACTCTATTTTTTTTCTCTTTATTGTATTTCCATGCATCTTTATTGAGTAAGAGTTGATGCTATTCTGAAGCGAACAAAAGGGTAAACTTTTTTTTAATAACCTAACTTTTAATAATTAATGAGGCCAGTATTCTTGGATGAGAGTCTTTGTTACATAAGAAATACTTGGCATTGGTTTACAAAACAGGTCTCAGGTGCTTAAAAAAAACTTAATGTGGAAATGGTTTTAAAATGTGCCTGTTGAGTGTTSTGTGCTTTGTAAAGCCTTAGCATTTTCTCTTCTGTAAAGCAAGACAGGTAGTGCAATGTGGTGAGGTGGCTTGAAGATACAAGAGGCAAGTAGTCTGAAATCTTTAAAACCTCTAACTTGCTTTTCATCCATTTGACGTTCAGTATTATTGGATGCAGAAATTGCTTGGTGTACAGCAGCTACACAGGGCAAGGACTGTACATTATTCATTTGCTGTTAGAACACTGAGCTCAAAAATGTTTAATTTCAAAAAGTAGGCATTGTGACTTACTGATACAGATATTCAACTGGGTATTATTGTAAAAAATAAGGCATGCATAATTTAAAACTAGGCCATTCTGATAATAATCTTCATTTTTTCCTTATCAGCTTCAGTGCTGAGTTTGTGGCAGGGTCTACCTTCCTCAGCCATTGCAGTCAAAAGTTTAGTATTTTAATCTGTCAGAGGTGAGCAGTTTTGAGATAAGTGCACAAGTTAATAGCCTGGAGGTGGAAGATAAGAGACTGACAATGAAGCCATGCTTGGAATTCACCTGGTTCAATGCAGATCCATTGTGTTTTGATACTCAGAGTCCAAGACTTCACAGTCAGCCTTGGACATATTCAGGCCCTCTGTCTGMTAACTGTGAGATGTGGGTGCCAGCAAGATTCTTGAGCCTTTAGGAATCTTCTCTACAGTGAATAAAATACCAGGCTGTGAGCTCTGTTTCTCACATAAGCACTATAGCTTTTGTGTATTTGTCATGTGACTATAGTCTTTTGAAAAACACTGTCTGCTTTTAAGTACTAGAGGTGGTTTTATATATTTTGGCACATTTTGAATTTTAAATTATTTAAATTATTTTAATACAATAGATACAAACTTTAGCTTTCCTGATAAACATTTCCTTTTTTTTTTTTAGCACTGATATTCAGAATTGCAGCTCTACATTATTTTTTAATATCTTCATGWTTGACATTTTCCTGGCAATTTCACCCCTAAAAGGCAGTCTCTCTTTAACATATCTACTTCATTATCTATAAATTGATGCTTCTTCAGWATTTTATTCCTTGTTTCCAAAATTTCTACTATCTTAATTTGATTTAGTTATTCTCTCTTTAAATTTTACTTAAAAATCTTTGTTTCCTTGCAATGGATGAAAACAAAACATCATGGAAAGCAAAAACTGTATGGTCTATTACTGTTTATGTTTTCTTATTGGAGTATTCAAATTATAAAGAACATTCTGGTGGGTAGATCACTGACTGTGGTCATCCTTTCCTGGATCTGTTACTAAGCAGTAACTTTCTATTCATTGTCTAGATAGAAGTACTGTGGAATACTTGCATTGTGTTGTTTTTCACAGGATGTCAACATTTTCTTAAAATAAAGACATTGGAAGTGCCTTGTTAAATTTGATTGCTGTTCTTATTTACAGATCTCCACTATAGCAGAAAGTGAAGATTCACAGGAATCAGTAGACAGTGTCACAGACTCACAGAAACGAAGAGAAATTCTTTCCAGACGACCCTCCTACAGGTATGGAAGTTAAAGCAGGAGCATCTTGCTTGATGGATGGGTGTATTCCCATGGAGATACAGTGGGATAGTATAGCTGTTATTAGATTTACCATTTAACTGAAAACTCTCTTCTGCAATGTCTTGGAATTGGAATCTGGAATATGTCTGTGGAATAGGGTATAAAGAGACAAGCAAGTAGAAGGAGTAGGCAGAAACCTCAGCAGYTACACTCACTTAAGACAGAAGTGAGCTGAGAATATGCTAATTGCCACATTTCAGAAAATTGAGATATTGTGCTAGATGCCTTAGAAATAGYTTTAATGAATACTTAATACACAAAATACACAGAGGCTTTGCAAAAAGTGACTTCTGTGTAATCTGTAATATCAAAAAAATAAACCCCACTGGTTTTCATTATTGTTGAAATGCTACAGCAATCAAACTTAATTCCTTTCTCCCATGAGACTTAATGAATATCTGATGTTCCATAGCTCAGAGAGAATTTCTGCTTGAGCAAAATCATTAGTGTTTGAAGTTTAAGTCAGTGTGAGTTGAATGTAGTGAAAGGCATCTAGTGTCTCTATTTGTCATGGCAGATAACCCTGGCAAGATCAACTCAGGTTCTCCTTCACATGGTGTTAGTCATGTTACTTTATCAATTAAGCTTTGGTACAGCTTTTTGTRTCTGTACTAAATCCCMCTTACATTCTTAAAATATGCTAAAWRGCATTAAGGAACAGCTCTGGGGTTCCGTAGGTTTTAAGTGACATGTGGGTTCCTTCTGCTTTAGAAAACTTAGATGCTCCTTTTTATTTTATGAGCATAGCCTTAGAAATAAGTGCTGGACTGTTTGCCTAAGCATATCTCAACAATGATTCTTTTTTAGCACTTGGGAGATATTCCTCTACCTTGTCCAGCAGCTTTCAAGGCTGTTCTGCTGAAGATAGTGAAAAATYACTGCTGAAGATCCCTAGGCATAATAGATCTGGGAAAGTATTTTTATTTGTGAGGAGTAGTGTTAAGGCTGCCACAGACTCAGTCTGCTTCTTCAGCAAGTCATTTGATTTTACTGTATATGGGAGAGTGGCTGTATATGGTGAGAAAACAGAGCTAAAAGTAAACAAGCAGCAAAACTGAAAAGGGAGYGCTTGTGCATGCTGACTTCTCATTGAAATGGATGCCTTTGCMTGCACTGATGCCACAGCACAGCCCCTATCTTCAAACCAGATTTTGGTGACTCAACAGCACTTGGCCCTTGTAAAACTTGTGTATGCAGCTCAGACTCAGGGCTGGTGTTGGTTATGTCAGAAAGGCTGACCCAGTCCACTGCTGTCTTTAGTACTTCCCAGCTAGCATTATTCTTCTCTAACTGACCCCAGAAACGAGATAGGTGCAGATATGTTCACAGAATCAAAAGATATACCTCTTCCACAGAAATTCCTCTGTGATTCTGYTGTAAAGTATATTATGTATTCCACATGCCAGTTCATAGTTTCTGTATTTGTAAAGCTGCCACCTTTTATCTTAATTCCATCTTTGTGATGGCAAAGGTAGGTTTTAACCACCATGTCATAGTGATATGAGATCAAAAAGTGATTTTTTATCTCCTTGAATTTTGTTCTTCATCATCTCTACTCTCTTCATATTTTTATTCTGTTTCATTCATTAATTTCTGGTCCAACACCTAGATTGCAAACTCTTTGGATGGGAATTTTTTATTTGTCCAAGTGGTTGTTGGCACCATGTTGTGCAATGCTGGGGTTCTTGCATGCACACAAAATCAGAACATCGACAGCAAAGTGTTGGTCAAGCTGCTGAGAAGAATGACTGCTCTCCCCAGATAGCTTCATATGGATGTTCTGTCTCCCACAGCCTTAGGAGGCTTGTATAARAAATTTGTGTTGTCTTGGAACTTGGGGTCTACAGCTATGACTTCTACTGCTGTGACTTCTAGTGCCAATCCACTGGAAAACAAAGAATTACAAAAAATATTGCCCTTGCCTAAGGGCATTGCATTTACCTGAGGGCACTTCCAGCATTTTGCAGCGACATAGTGAATATGCCAGCAGTGACAAAGGTTTAACAGTCCTCTGATGCAGGGCAGTGTTTGATCTCAGTGATGCAAATTGCAATGGCTGCTGTGGTCAGTCTGCAGTTAACATTCAGTGGGACCTGTAGCAGTGGTGGTTTAGAAGTTTTGACTTTGGATAGTAGCTCATGGAGATAATGAAACAATCTGTTCTTTCCTTTACCCATGAACCTTCTCGAGCAGGGCACCTGTGAATATAACTGCAAGACTGTTCTCAAACACTGGCTGTTGTCTCCTAGGYAGGGGTTCCATTATGAACTGGTTGGTCTTGGTAAGCATTTCTGCTAACTGTTTGGTATTCAGCTCACTGGCCAAGGTGTTTATAGTCTGAAAAAGAGCAGTTCCCCCAGTGTAAGTGAGGAGCCAGGTTCTGACTTTTTTTTTTCTTCAAATGTTTATGTAGCTAAAAGCAGGAAACAAAAATRGATGAGAGAAACATGCTCTTAAGATAAAGGGAAGGTTGTGAYAGCTATACTGTGGGTTTTGAGAAGCACAGCTGTTCTGTGGTGGCTCCCCTGCCCACCAGTGTTTGGCATTTTGGACAAGCCTCTCCAATAAGAGTTTGAAGATAGTGTCTGGTTTTCATTCTGCAGTCATATTTTCCTTGCTGGCTTGTTGCACTTCACAGTTTTCCCCAGCATTGTGTATCAGATAGAATATTTTTCTGCCCCAACTTTTATTAAAATCTCTACAACACACTGTCTTTGCCAGAAAAATTTTGAATGACTTGTCCTCAGACGCCCCAGGAGTGCCAAGGATTGAAGAAGAAAAGTCAGAAGAGGAAACAGCAGCACCTGCCATCGCCACTGTTACGGTGCCAACTCCCATTTACCAAACCAGCAGTGGGCAGTACAGTATGTAGTCTGAATTTCTCAGTGGTGCTAGTAAGTGGGGCTGCCAATATGAAGAGCTATTRTTTCTATAACTGTTTGTACTAGGTCAAAGCAGGAGTTGAAAARGATTGCTTTATTTTGACTGATAACCAGGCCTTTTAAACACATTTCTATTGTAATTATTTGAAAGGCTCAGTTAACATTCTGGGATTCTTTGCCATTCGGTGCAGCTAATGCATCCAAGGCAAAACAGGAACTAACCACAATGCTGCTACAAACTTCTTCACTTCAGGAACTAGATGGGGAATTCAGAAGTTTCTTTTTTTCTTGGCAGATTATTAACACTCATTCACAAAACTGTAGCTTCATCATTAGAAAAAAACATTATACTCTGCAATTACATTTTTAGAAAGTCCTGAAAAGATAAGAACATTAACATATGTCAAAAGTATGTTTGTTTTCTTGATTTATTAGATTCTATACAGTACTTTGACTTGGAGGATTGAGGATATGGCAGTAAAGATTCTCACACACATACAGTATTAAACATACAAAAGGGAGAAAGAACTATTTGTTTACATCTGTCTCTTAAAATCTCTTCAAAATTTTSTATCTCTGTTTACTCCTTAGTCCCTTTGCCTTGTAGCATGCTTAATTTTATTGAAATAGATGTGGTTAATTCTGATTCCTATTATAACTGTAAAATAACTGCTTCTGCAGACACTTAAGATTTTGGTGTGTCTGTGTGTATAGGAACACAGTGAAATTCGGTGCAGGGGTGATGGTGCAGGTCCCAGTATACCTGCATAACAGGATTGAGGGAAAGAAAGATTAAAAAACCAGCAAAGTTAAGACTGCCTGAACCAAACCGTAACTTTATGAATGAAAAAACAGTTAGGAAGGGKCTGAGGAAGTTACAGAGAAGGGGAGATACAATCAGAAGAAAAAAAAATGCCAAAACAAGAAGAAAGTGAAACGCAAGATGGATAGCACTAGTAGCAGAGGAGRCTGAAGGGCATGAAGTGCAGAAGATGAGAGGAATTTCAGATGAGAAAAAAAAGTAAGGACAGAGAAGAAGACCTAAACCAACCAACCAGGAAGGAAATCTTAACTAACAAATTAAAAAAATATTCCCCGGGGGAGGATTGTAGCTCCTCTGTGTGATGATGTTTTATTAGAAAATCTATTTTGTATTTTAGGCTTGGGTTTTTGCCCTCACAAAAATTTTATAACTTAGCTTTCAAAGGATGATTTTTTTTCATGTACACTGAAGCCATATGTTTGATTTGGGGGTGGATAAGGGTTCAAGGGATTTAGCTCAGATCAGTATTCTTCTTACTTTAATACTATAAGTTAATGAGTAAATTAGTGTCTTAAATGCTGGGTTATTTGTTTGGTTTTTTTTGTATGCAGTTGCTATCACCCAAGGAGGAGCAATACAGTTGTCTAACAATGGCACAGATGGAGTACAAGGTCTCCAGACATTGACGATGACCAATGCAGCTGCAACCCAACCTGGCACCACCATCTTACAATATGCACAGACCACAGATGGACAGCAGATACTTGTACCCAGCAACCAAGTTGTTGTACAAGGTGAGAAACTTCACAGTCATTCTGTTATTCTGTATAACATTTTCTCCATGCAGATATACGTAGCCAACCTAACTCCTTCAAATGTGTCAGGAAGCATTTAACAGCTTTGGCATAAATAAATCTCCAAAGGTACTGAAATTCTGGACAAAGCTATTTGCCCATTTTCTTGAAGTCTTCCCCTTTAGATTGGTAAAATTTGGGGATATTTCAGGTTCTATATATTTATTTCTGCTTTTCTGTACGGTATTTCCTGCATTTTATCCATGCAAATTTTTTTACATGTTCTAGAAAAACTAATACTAGAGTTCTGAGTTTTCCTATATCTGCAATGATAGGAAACTTAAAGCAAGGTAATAAAGATAGGAGAGAAGGTTGTTCTATTCTTTCTAAAAAGACACTTCAATTTATTTGAATTTTTCCCTTTTCAGYTGCAAGTCATAACTTCTTCCTATTGTGACTTTTGTGACTAGTCACTGAGTGACTCACTCCATCAGTGAGTCTTGGAATCATAGAACAATTTAGGAGAATGCTTTAAGTGATCGTTTGATCTAGCCCTCAAATTGTCAGAGCTACTTTAGCTTAGAATAARTTGTGGGGGGAAGCTGTTGTATTAAAATACATATTTTGGTTTATTAAAACTTAACAGGTGTTACAATTTTTAAATTGAAAATAACAGTACCCCTGCTTCTATGATTGTAGTTGATTTGAAAGTTAYCCAGTGAAGAGTTCACCAGGCATCRGTAAAAATAGAGMAGAGAAGACTATTGTTGTTRCACTGTTSTTTGGGTTTTTGTGTTYTTAAGGAGATATGRTTTCTTTAGGTGSTATTGTGGTTATTTGTGRACTCAGGCAACATGAATACACTCCTAGATTACAGTAAATAAAATAAAAGAAAACCAAGACCTTGCTSATTCTAGAGGAGCAATAGAGTGCAYTGTCCCTCTYTTGTGGGARTAAATRCTACAGTTTTACACCTTTTTTTTATGCCAGATACTTACACATGCAGTTCCTCTTTTGTAGCAGACATTTGGAGCATAGCTAGATAYACTGTTGACCCCATCCTTCTCTAGAACTGCCTGAAAAACAGAAGTAAAAGAAATAAACCAAGGGAGAAAGAAGCACAACTATACAGCAAGACAATCAAGTTATCAAGCACAAGTGAAGACTTCAGCAGGAATGCCCAAAAGCCTGTATATATTAATAAACTAAGCCTGAGGTAGCAGTGRTGACCCAGATGATGGCAGTCCCTCCTGAGCTGTGCATGGTTAGAGAGGTGACTGGGTTCAGAGATGACTACATTAGAAAGATGAGTAGGAGTTCTCCACAGCACGTGTGACAGTGCTGTCACCACACTCATGCCATGTTCCCGTGTGTCCCTTCAGCTGCCTCAGGAGATGTGCAGACCTACCAGATCCGCACGGCCCCGACCAGCACCATTGCACCGGGAGTGGTGATGGCATCCTCTCCTGCACTCCCSACCCAGCCGGCAGAGGAGGCCGCACGGAAGAGGGAAGTGCGTCTAATGAAGAACAGGCACGTACACTCACATTGCTTTTTTCTTCCCACTCAGCTCTGCCTAGGCCTAGAGAGTCAAGCACAGTCCTCATCTTTCTTATTCATGTTGTGAAATGATGTATGAAAAATATGCCTTTATTTAAAGCTGTAAAGCAGAGATGCACATCTACTAATGCCTTTTGTTGTGACCATGAAACCTTGAGTGAAGTGTTAGACYCATTCTGTGAGSTGTGTGAATTTGRTTGTTGCAATRAGGAGAAAAGTAATTGGTGAGATAYTTSTATGACTGCAGATAKGTTCTTACAAACACCAAGATGAGTTGCTTTTTTTGAGTTACTACATTCATGTAGTTTCATTTCCTGCATTGTTTCCCTTAGCCTTCTGCATGCATCTTCTTGCTGCTGGCCCACCTGTGCTCCAGGGGAGCTAGGACATAAAAAAGGAAACAACAAATTAGAGCCTGATAGGATTTCTTCTCTTCTGTGTTTCAGACTCCTGATAAGCTGAAAATATTCTAAATATGTCTCAAGAAWTAATAATTTTCAATTTTCACTCCACAAATGATAYAATKAATGTTTTCTGTAAGATATCTGTGAGAYCTTCTTGATTGTCTCACTTGTTCTTTTAGCTGCTTTGGGGTTTCTCCTCCAGGGGCAGACAGGCTCAAGCAAAGGCYAAATGAGGAGCTATTCCTTTTGATGGAAGTCTTGTGGAGCCAGTAATGGCAGCAGAAGGGCTGAAAGAAAGGTGGAGATGTGTTGATCCTGTAGGATTCAAAGTGTGAGGAGGAACAGCTAAGCGTACAGAGGTGGGAGTGGGTGGAGGTACCAAAGGAAAGGAGCAGTAGGGAGAAGTTAAAGGTGATGCTCCTGAAGTCTTGCTGTGGGAGTGGGAAGGGGTGGGCCTGAAGTGGCCCATCACACCAGGCTTGGCCTCTTATCCACAGGCCACAGATTGGAGCCTGTGTGTTACACTGTGACACTGGGAACACCTGTTCCCCACCCTTCTGAGCAAGGGAAGCCCCCTGAAAGCCTYGTTAACTTCATCTGTCAGTGTGAAAAAACTGATGTTGTACTGATTCATTTCTATAGGTTGCTGTGCTGTGAACACAATACAAACCTAGTTGAGCAGAACCAGTGCTATACAAGGGGCTTCAATAAGTAAATAATGCTGAACAGCAGAGTTCACTTTTTTTAAGGGGTTTTTGTACAGACTGTCACCCATCTCTCTTTTTATATATTTTTCTCATACCAGTGAATAGTAGATATCACCCTTTCAGGCTCAGCATTAGAGAGCAATTTAATTAGAATCACAGAACACCCTCATTTAGTCAGCAGTGTTATTCTAGTAAAAGAAAGCTTTTGTGTTTGTGAAAACCAAGAAAAACAATGGGGAATTACCCCCWCTTAAGTTAAATTGACAGCTTTTGCAACAGTATCATGTTGCATGTGGTGCTTTTAGCATATCTGCTTAATAGATATTTGCAAATCTAAGCTCCATAGCAAAGTGGGGAAAAATGATAGAGAGGCAGATGCTAAGGTGGTACTTATTGGAGGATTATAGTGTAAATATTCATAGATATTATTGTGCAAATTTTCTGTATAAATTTTACATTTTAAAGCTTTCTTGCAATTCAGTATAACTCTGGCTGTTCATTATGAACAACTAGCGCACAGACTTTGAAGTGGCTTAATATGCACAGCCTAAGCTGGAAAAAAATCATAGAGAGAAAGTATTGTCACCCAAGGAGACTTGTTAGTAGTTTGCAGTGGGAGGCACTTCCTGATCCAGTAGTACTTGTTCTTTTGGTAACAGCCCGAAATCACTTAAATTCYCAGTGTTACACATGGTTTACTGAAGCACTGCAAGCATGTGAAATTGTATTCATAGGAGTGACAAATGGATACCTGAGTCCTTTCAGGGCTTACAGAATRTATTTTCTTCATCCTGTCTCATTTGTGGAGCTGAATTTCAAAAATTACTTTAGAGGCTTCTTATCCTCTAGAACAAGAATTACTGTAATCCTGGAATGCATTACTTTTTTACAGCTACTRTTTATCTAGTACGGGGAGGAACTGGCTTTGGATTTGTCCTCTCATCTCCCAGCACACTGACTGTCTCACTCTTTGTAGTGTTTTCARTGAAGGGACACCCAGACTCTTATTTTTGAATCTGTTCTGCTTTGCACCTAAAGGYTCAGGGCAATAAGTGTGTCCATTTCCATGTGGCTGCAGAGTGCAGCTTKGACAAGATGTGCTGCAAGCAGAGAGCCTCTGCCTGGGCTCCCATCTATCTGCCTGTGGCATTTAGCCTTGTGCTTATTTTGCACCTGGCTGCCATTATGTCACTGTGCAGGGTAGCTTCTGCTTTGGTGTTCCTTCCTTCAGGATGCTCAGCAGCACATTCATACCTTGCAGGTATTTTTCCCTAGTGTTCTTGGTATGTTTTCAAGTTACCTACAGGCAGCTGAGTATTTACAAGCAAGATGTAGAAGTTTCACTATCCTGAGGTTTGTTTCAGCACATTACCACTGCTATGTTTTTGGCACAGCTGACAAGGACTAAAGAATTATATGGTTCCTAGTGACTGATTATTTTGTGATATTTTTATTTGAGTCATTGTCATTTCAGTGGTGCAGACATCATTTTTAAAATGAAGGCATTGCTTAAGAGCAAATACATGAATGCTCTAAATATGGTGCTTTTTGCACCACTTGAACATCTTGTTGGACTGCAGCAAAGGGAAGAGTTGAAGACTACAAAAAAAAATTATAATAAAATCAATTAAATTATTGCAGCAGCATTTGACTCAGCCTAAAGACTCTAATGTAAATCCTGCAAGCAAAATTTTGTCACTGAGTAAGATCCTTATCTTACAGAAACAGAATTGTATTGGTGCTGTCCTACTTGGGTCTGCATGTTGAATGATATGTGGATCTTGAGTGTGTGTGATTTGTGAGAAACAATTGCTGTGAACTCAGTGTTCTTTCTTCACTTGCATTTCTTAACAATGCCTCCATWTTCTGAAAATGGCAGCACTAGGTAAAGGTTTGACCTGAAAGCAGTATTCCATGCCTGCAAATGATAGTTCTGGATTTGAATGGCCTTTTTTGCTTTGCAGAGAGGCAGCACGTGAATGTCGCAGGAAGAAAAAGGAGTATGTGAAATGTCTAGAAAATCGAGTGGCTGTGCTTGAAAACCAAAACAAGACACTGATTGAGGAGTTGAAAGCACTTAAGGACCTTTACTGCCACAAATCAGATTAATTTTGGATTCTCATTTTCACTTGTCCAGATGGGATAGAGACTGGTTCTGGCTATATCCAGACAGACAAACTTTTTATTTTCTAAACATTTCTTTTTTTCTATGCGCAAAACTGCCTGAAGCAACTACAGAATATACTTCATCTGTGCTTTGCATCAAACTGTGAATGTTCAAGTACTTGCCTCCACTTCTCCCCTTACAAGATGAATTTCATCATCAATCTCAGCGTGAAGAAGAACAGGCTTCTTTCTCGTCTCCCAGTCCTCTTGAAGGAGTAACAGTGGTCACTTGGGAAGGTACTGTGGGGAGGGTCCTTTTGTAAAGATGTCAAGAATTTGTGCTGAGCTCTTTCCATTGCCTTAGAGAGACAAAACCACCCCAGCCTCTTGGTCCAGAGAACCGAGGGCCACAAAGGTGGAGCATGTATGGTACATTGAAGAAGCAATGGTTGCCAAATTGGTTTCACACATTCACGATGAACTGTACAAATACACGGCTAAGCAGCATGCCAAACGAAGGGCGCTTCACTGTCACCTTCTTGGTGTGGAGATAACAGACCTTTTTCAAACTAGCCCAGGAGGAAGTTTGATTTAGAATGTGTATTAAACTCTCCTAGACTAGTAAAACCTTCTCCATACCTCAGAAACAAATGCATTGAGATAGCTTCACTGGTCAGTTGTTGCTTCTCATAGCGTATGTGTGCAAGTGTGCTCACTCTCTGAATGCACAGAAAAGAGACACCAACTTCATAGGATATAGTTTGGGAAATGATATTTGGATGGGAAAGAAAATTTTAAAAAAGATGCAACAGTGATGTTCTGAAAACAGTCACATGGTAAGCAAGAGTAACACTTGAAAGCACTACCTGTTTGCATGCAGAACAACTAAGCAGTTGAAGCAYGGCCAACTCCACTTAAGTACTCCCTGATGACAGTATGGTCTGTGTCCCAAGTCCTCTTAAGCCATGAGGTTGTTTTTATTTCCCTACCACTGTCTTATGCAAGGAAATTATCAAACTTGATGGAAATGTCAGCCTGGTTTGCTAAATTCTTTTTCAAACTTCGAGGCTGCCTTCTGTACATAAATTAAGTCACAGTATGACAACTATTAGGACAACCTCAAATACTGAAGAGGATTTCCAACACAAATATTCCAGCTCCTGCTTCATGAGGGACAATACCGATTATTTGAACCTGGCCAGGTCAGCTAAACTCTTAATTTATTTGGGGTATTTTTTCACAGAAAGGGTCAGATATACTGAGTAATCAGTTCCTGCAACCAAAATTACTCATGTGCCTCAGATGTTTGCAAGATCAGTTTTTTTTTCTGTGCACTGAGGAACTGTGATYTTTTCCAGATTTATGGTGTTAAAAAAGGTAGTTCATTTTTAAAAAAAAACTCTTTACTAAGCATTAGGTGTTCAGAAGAATCATGCTCAAAAGGAACCAAAAAAGAACGTCAAGAARTGGTCAAAAAGAATGTGTCAAAAAGAATCATGTGCAGTTTGTACTGGCCCTCTGAAGCCAGTCTCTCTCTATGTGAACTTGGGTCATTTGATGGAGTGAGTTTACTTTGGTCTTCTGGTCAAACTTTTATGTATAGAAACATGGATAAGACTCTGGTCTGTACTAATGCCTTGCCTAGCAGAGCATTAGCTAATATTTTTTCCCATTCACTCTGTTTTTAASATAAATTTCACACACAAGCTTCTAAAAGGTTATACAATCAATGTGATGTTATAAGAAAAATATTTGGAAGACTCTGGCAGTTGCGTCTCAAAAACCTAAGCAGTATTAAAAGTTGTAGATTTCTCATTTGAGAGGGCATTCAGTTTCCAAGAGACTTAATTTAAAAGGAGCAGAATTAAGCTTACAGCATTATTGTTAAATCTTAGAGTTATCAAGAATTTCAAATTACACTTGTATTTTAAGAAGAACATAAATATCAGAAATGTGAAATAACTTTCACAAGTTTTGTGAGGGTTTATAAATGGTCTATTTTTATCTGCCATAGAGAGTTGATCTTTGTGTTTTTATTTAATGGGAGATGAATTTATTAGTTTAGCAATGCAAATTTAAAGAAGACCCTAAGTTCTCAGAAATGCTTTTATAAAAATGGTCTGATTCTTAAAATCAGTGAATACAAGTATATAAAACGGTTTCATTTTCCAGAACTGGTACCAAAGTRGAAATGTTGATAATACAGGAATCATCCTTGTAAAACATGAAGCTCATGGTGGCCTCACTTGCAATTACATGGAATAGTTCCTCCAGCTTTGAGAAACAGAAAAGGCTGTATATGCCCACATTAGGGCTGTTTGTTTTGTAGAATATGTGTTTGCAAAAAYGTCAGGTTTTGCTGTGAACCTGAGTGAGGCGAGCTGGGCTCTCAGAACTGTGTCTAGTGGGTGGCAAACMCTGTCTAGAGCTTGCTGATAGTCCCTGGGCACAAAGCCTGGGAGCTGAAKGGGCATGGGAGCCTAAAACAGTGCCCTGGCTGGGTTCTCCTAATACAGAGTTGGTGCAAATTTATGTGGCAGTGAGAGGAGAGCTGTGTTWCCAGTTTGTCTGAGTGTGGTCTGCAAGTGGCCTGTAGCGGTTTTAGCCTAGACTTCAGTAGCAAATAAAGTTTCACTAAGATAAAGAATGTAATTTAAAGTACATAGGGGTCTAGAAGAATCTTTATTTTTATTTATGCTGCACTGAGGATTTAGGGACATGAATTTATTTAATGAAAATTATAAATTACAATAATAAAAAATGTATTAGACCAAGTACAGGGCTGGCTAGGCTACCCATAMATACTTTACTATTCATATTGACCCAAAAAGGGAAAGAAGATGACACAGGAATCCATTCCTATGTTTTTTTACTAAGTAGTGAGGTTGGGGGTAATAAGCTTCTATAAACTAAGGCCATTTGGAAGTAGGATGGAAATTATGCTGACAAGGGGAGGGAGGATTATTTTTTTATCTCACGGCTGTGAGTTTTCAAGAACTGATAGCCTGTTTTACCTGAAGAGAAGGTTAGAAAGGGCTAGATCCATTATGTTCATAATAAACAAGAATTGGTTTGAAATATAATTTTTGTAATGTCATTATTTTGCAAAACAACAGCACCAGTCAGGCAGTTAAGATATTGTCAAAGGTGCTCTTTTAATTTAGATATTCTTGGAAAATACATATGTATAATATATGTACATATATATATATATACACACAGTATATAATCTACAGCTCTGAGAGCTTTTAAGTCAGGAATGCTGAGTATTATAGTATATGGAGGTCAGAAAAAAATTTTTACTTTTCTGTGAGTGTCTGGGTGTGTGTGGATGTGTGTGTGTGTGTGTGTGTGTGTGTGTGTGTGTGTGTGTGAAAGCTTCCCCCCACCCCAGTAGCTCTGGGCTGCGTTATTCTAGTGCTTATTACTGATTTATTTTGTGCTGTTTCTCAGTTATCCATTTTCAAGGATTTTATTTCATCTTTTGTGGACTTTGTGAGGTTTGTTTTTTATTGATGAAGATTTTTAAAATTGTGTAAACAGTTGTTTTACAACCACCACCACCACCCAGAGTAATTCACTTTTGTGCTTTTTCTCTTTGGCAGCTATATATCAAAGGCAAAACATTTGGAAAGGTTGTTAAAGTGTTATTTTCTAAAGGAACCACTGGTAAGACTTCTGTTTTCCTCCTGGGGTAGTGGCGATGCATTTTTACCTAGGCAGCAATTTCACCAGCACTGGTAGTTGCTGGCACCATTGCTTGTATCTGAAAGCACAATTTTAGCCTGTCGTGCTTGTCAGGACTGCTCAGACACCCTCACTTCTGGCTAGCCTGTAGTTGGCATTTCCATTGTCTTCTCTGGTACTTGTACATTGGTCAGAAAATTGGAGGGGCATTTGGAATCATTAACAGGCTCAGGAAAAAGAAGATTTCATAAGGAAAAATAGCCCTGMTAGTTTCTGACCTAAATTGGTACCACAGGTTGTTTATTTTAAATCTGGGCTTCCAGTAAACTGCAGCAGCAAGTAGTCATCTGTTAATGAAAACTGGCCTCTGCTTCTTTATTTTGGGKTKKKTTTTTTTTTTCCATTTGTGACAGATAGTGCTTTTTGTGGGTTAAAGACAAGTCTCCCCATCAAAACAAGTTCAGTATCAGTGGTTGCAAATCTGTGACAATTTCTAGAGGATTTAATTGGTTTCCTAAGACCTTGTTTTTTATTRTAATTTTTTCACCCTGGAGCCTGGTTAGTGATGTAACATTTGCCRATGATCCAACCAAAAGGTCATGTATTTATTTTTGTTACACTATGTTCTTTGTAAATGTGTAATTAAAATGTGCACTTTTAAAAAAAAGGAAGAAAAAAAAAAAAGGAAAAGCAAAAAAAAACCCGACAAAACACAGAGAACAAAAAAATTAGGATCAATTGGGTTTACTTGAGAAGCTTTCTGGCTGAACTGTAATCCTGTCCTGCTGTCTGCACACAATTCACTCCTCTCCACAGCAGTTGACTCTTTTTGCTGAGTTAACYTGCAGATCAGTACCTGGTGCCCAGCAGGCATTGCTTCAGAAGGGCAGGAGAGCTGAAGGGGCAAGAATCAAGCATGTGGTGTCTCAGAGCAGTTATGTAGAGAATGGATGTGAAATTATTTTTAGAGTAGAACTAGTTCAGTTATCCCATGTGGGAAAGAGAGGTTAATTTGGAAGGAAAACTAAACTATTTTTCAGCCACTTTATTCCCCTTTTCTTAATTTGAKATTTGTCAGCAGATTGTACAAACTGCATTCCAAGAAAATAAATTGAAAGGCTTTCCAGTAATTTGACAYCAGGAAGTAAAGGTACATTGAGAATGTGTCACCCTGTGTGAAAAGCACAACAACCTTTCTTTTGCAGAAATGATAATTTAACCCTGAAGTCTGTCACTATGAGCAGGTTTTAAAAAGCATACAGTACATTGATGGTTCTTTGTCATCTGCCTGGGAACTAGATTTCCTGAGCTGTGTGATTTGCTAGCTGTAGAAGACACTGATTTTACAAAAACCTGAATATATTCTGAAGCTCAGTCGGTCTGAAAGAAGCCAGACTGGTGAAGAGAAGTTGCTGAAATCCACCCACTGTGTGCTTGTGACAGGTTCAGGTCTGTGGATAGAAACAGCTTAAGTTTGAACATCTTTGGGGAAAAGGGACCAGACCCAGGTGGTRAAAAGGGTTTACATTTCAAGTGTTTTGCCTTGAAATGTGTTTGTTAAATGTATTTAAGCTGTGGCCTGCAAAGAGATGTGCTTGGGCTGYTTTGCATGGCACAGTGGAAGAGAGTGCCCTGTTTGCTGTGTGGCACTGCAGGTGCAGTGAGTGTGACTTGCTCTGGGGTGAGTTCAGGGTTGCTTTCAGGAGCAKTGAGCTGTGCCTGGAGCTGTGTGCTGGCAGGGAAAGGGCCAGGGACAGGCTGCAATCACCCATGGTTGGCACACTCCGTAAGCTGGGCGTTCCTGCACTCATGACTCGGGCACTCAGTTCACTTCAGCTACAAACTTCTCTAAATTAGGGGATAGCTGAGTGAGAGCATGGGGAAGACAGCCCTTGAGCCTGTTACTTCTCTGGAAATGGCCACTCGTAAGAACTAAGGCTGTTTGGGTGCTTTCCACAAGCTGTGTTTTATCCAGGTGCCACTCCATTTTTTTTTGTATGTTTAATTACATTTATTTATATTAAAACATTAATTTTAAAAAGTTATACAACTTCAAGTTTATGTGAAATTTGAAACTGTGCTGCTTCTAATGGACTTCTTGGGATGGGAACAGGGCAAGAAGAGGTGCTAGTTGGCAGCCAACCCCTCCACAGACTTATCCACAGATTGGTTGTTCACCTCAAAAGTGAGTTGTTTTTACTCTGGATTTATAATTTGAATGTTTTGAAACAATGTTTTTCAGGGAAGCTTCCAGGGCAAGGGTTATTATTCTCCCTTTGCAGTGTAAGCTGGAAAGAATATGTTCACCTCATCTGCATTTCTGATTCTTTACCCAGACTATGTCAGCACAGAACAGGGTATTTGAGCTTGACTCCCACATATTTGTAGAAGTTAAAAGACTAAATGAAAATCCATTATTGGGGGAAAACAAACTCTTTTTTACATCTCCCCAAAAATCTAGAAACATCCCTGTGGTGTTCTGTTCTTTTTTTTTTTTTTAACTTCTTTTTGTGCTTTATCTGTGTTTAAAAAAAATTGTACTGGGTTATAATGCATTTTATTAACACTATGTACATATTAGCTGCTTTGTGTTTCAGAATGGTAGTAATTGCTTTGTATATTAAAGTGATTCTTGTGAATTTGTGAATTATTGTCATAAAGAAGTGCTTTTTCTTACTGTAACCTTTGTGGTATAAACTGTCATAACTCCCTTTTTACACAGACATTTACATTTATGTGCAGTCACATAAACATGCTTTAAAAAACTCTACAAAGTCTCTTTTTTGAGCAGGGTCTTCCATTTACACTAATGTATTGGCAAATGGTAGCTAGAGGAATACGGGAAAAGGCATATTTTGAGCAGTCTGTGGTGTCCTCTCGATCTGTGGCCTGCTCTAAGTATTCATGAGGTATTTTCCCCAAAGAGAAGGATTTTTTAATCTTAACTGAATTAGATTAGTCAGAGGTTAAGTCCTGAAAAACAAAGWTTCTCTTCCTCCAGATGTTTTTAAACCTGCTTTCCAGTATTCATTCTGGTGGCAGTTGTTTAATAATGTCTGAAAGACTTAAGCCTTTCACACTTTAAATATACTGCATGTCTCACTCTTAAGCATTCCTGTAAACCATGTACTACTGATCTTAATAACAACAGCAACAGAAGGCAGCATTTGAGAGGATCACAGCCCTATTATGTAATCTGGGAGGCTGTATCCAAACACTGGGATGAAAGCCAGGAGAACAAATTCAGCGCTGAGGTAAACACACCTCCAGTGAAATCAAGGGGAAGCAGTAAGGTCATCTCATTACAGCTGGGATTTTGTAGTTTTCTTAATGCCATTCACATTCTTGCTTAGAAAAATCTACGGTAATGAGGGAGAATCCCAAACAGGGGTTAGTCCCTGAGATATAAAAATGTCGTTTGGCTTGAATTTTGCGCTGATAAGAACTGGGTAACACAGATCCCTGTGCAGTCAGCTAGTGAGACCTGACTCTTCTGACACTGCTGCACCTTGAAGCTCTTAGTCCATAAATAACATGCAGAGCTGAGCTCATTCTGTGTATCTTGATATCAATCAAACATCACCTTAGTTGCAATGGCTATTTTGGAAAAGTTTTTTCCCTTGCAAAATGGCATGTTTCAGGGATAGTTTCTGAGTCTTACAGCAGGTCTTGTCTTACCTGGTCACTTTTCTGTGGCTTGAACCACTGCCTAGGGTGAGTAAATTTCTCAAGAGACCCTTTGTGTATTGCCCCACTACTCTGGAACCGTGCCCAAACACATCCTTCCTACAGATGAGCTCAGATTATCTGTCATAAAACAGAACCAGTGCAATGGAACCACCTGAAGGAGAGTGGGATTCTCTAGTGCTGGGATGAACAGGGTGACAGAAGGTGCATGGGCAAGGTCTCAGTATAATGGCTGAACAGCTGCTGAGGTGTTCCATGTATCATACTGCTTCAGGACCTGTGGGGCGGGACCCCAGAGTTTGCAGGTGTCTCTCCAGAGGGTTGTTCTCTGTGTTCACTTGCCAGCAGTGACATCTATTGTTTCTGTCCTCCACTGTCCTCCTCTGGCGTGATTCACTGGTGGCCTGACTTGCTCCCAACCTCTCCCTGAAGGTAAGTGTGATGGAAATGCCAAAAACTTGTGCGCCAACAGAAGGTCCTGAGTGCTCTCATCCTGTCAGCACTGCCCAGGGGGAATGGCCTGCGGGTTTCAGTGAGTTACATTCTCAAAGCTGATCCTGCCCCTACACRCTGCAGCTTTAAGTGCAACCACAACTGACATGCACATGTTGTAGCCTAACTGCAGCATTCCTGGATCTGGTCTCCTAAATCTAACAGGACCTGCACCCCAGTAGCAGTCAGAGGAGAAGGCATCCCCTTCGGGGTGCCACTTGCTGTGCTGGGGAGGGACCACCAAGAGCTCAGCTCGGCAGGTCAGGGGCAAGGCACTCACCTGAGTKGCCAGTGCCATCTGCTGCTTTTCTCCACCATTCTTTTTGGGCAGTAGCATCACTTCAGCCTTCAAACATACTCCTTTGGGTTATCATCCAGCTGCTGTGTTACAGCAGCACAGCAAAAGCAGCTAAGCCTGGTCTCTATTGGCACATGCCTGCTCCGGCAGGATGGCTGKGGACTGTAACAGCAGCAGTGGGAAATCTGACACTGAAAACTTAACTAAGCAATTAGAKATAGAATTAAACTGATTTGTTTTCAAAGTACAAAATTGTTTCTATTGTCACAGCAAGGCCTGGGGTGAAACCCCCTTCTTGGAAGTGTGTCAGTTGCTGTACCAGGCTTTATTCTGTGTTATTTAAGCAAGCTTTTTAGCATGTTCCTGCTATGGCAACAGTGCAAGCTGCTATGGCTGTCAGTACTGCAAGCTCCAGCCTCTTGTGAGGGCCGAGCACTGCCAGGCTTTTCCCACAGAAAAGTTCTGCTGGGCACTCACAARCCCAGGCACCAGCTTTCTGCCAGCACTGCTTTCTGCCAGCTCCTGCCCAGGGGGAGCCTGAGGTGCAGACGAGCCTAATGCCTAATCCCAGACCAGCTTGGAGACAAGGAAACACCAGTGGGGAGGAAAAGGAAGAGGAGAGATGAGAACTTACAGCCACACTCAGAAAACAAGAGCCAGAGAGAGGGAGGAGAGATCATAATTCTTTTAAACCATTGCTCACCCAGCTGATAGGACAGATGAAGCTACACCTGACACGTTGGAGCTCACCTCGCAATCTGTTTACAATTAAAGGTGCTGTCTTCCCCCGAACCGACTTCAGTTTCAGGCTGCGAATTCCCAGCCGGCTGCCAAAGTACTGTTTTAGTGACACCATGTGGCTTCTGAGGATACTGTTACAGTGTTTCAGAGCAGCAAGTCCCAGACTGAGCCTACGCCAAGCCAGGAGCTTCGCTGAAAACATKCAAGGATGTGCCAGGGATGAAGCACAAACCTTAATGATAAATGTGTAATTTCCACACTACAGTCAGCACAGCACTTCTGGACCACCAGCCAGGAAGTATGATGGGGGCAGAAGTGACAAAATGTTCTAAAATGTCCATGGCCCAAAGCAGCTGCCGCTGTTTGCTGTTACCAGTGCCAAACACATGCACATGCTCAAAATCTGAGCCTGACCTGAGACTTTCTGAGTTTAAAGTTAAAGCAAAAGAAGGTCCACATCAACACAAAGCATGAGGTAGTAAAGCAATTTCTGCATGTAGAGGTGTAGCTGTCTTCTGTTACCCTATTGTTTTCATCAGTTTCATTCTTCCACTACTAGAAACATAAGGAAGTCTGCTGCTGGTGCAAATTGGATTTGGGAATCTAGTGGGATAAACACAYAGACGTGTTTTACAAGCTCAAGGTATAAGATTTGTCATTTAGAGCAGTGTCTTAACTACCATTGTGCACTCTAAGCACACTGAAATCTAGACACTGCCCCAAGGTCCCAAGYATGCAAGAGTAAATACTTCCCCTGCTACAATGACTTTACAGAGCACCCTCCTTCCCTAAATAACAGCTCTGAGACAGACAGAGGACAAACAAAGGCACAAAGTAGAACATTATCTAGTGGTACTTTGAGAGTCAAGGACTGATTTGATATTTTAAGAACAGWTTCAGTCTCCTTGTTGCACTTTCCTGGCTGGCACATGTGCATGTATATCTCCTCCAAGGAGCCTTATCTGTGTGAGGGACACTTGTTAGGGACAACTCATGAACCACAACTGCTTCGTACTGCAGTGTAGCCCACACGTTTGCAAGTCAGGCAAAAATACCATTGATTTCTAAGCTGGATTACTCTGCAATCTCTATTCCCAGTGCCTCTCCAGATCTTTTTCACTGTGCCTCTTCAATGCAGCAGTGACAGCAATAGAACAACTTTATAGCATCTGCTTTTGTTTCTTTTCGCCCTTTAAGTGGTTTCTTTTATCACAACTTCTAAGATGCAGAAGTCCTGAAGAGTTAAAGCATTTAGAGCTGGAGCATTAGCTTTTATTTCATCCACTCTTACTTTTCAAGAGTTAAAGAAGTGATGAAGAGAAAAAACCCCACTGTAATCTATTTAAGTTTCCCCCTGAAGTAAATTGTGGTTTGATTTCAAACAACAGACCTTTTGATATAACAATTTCAATGCTGGAAATTTCTGTAACTTAAATTGGTTTCAAATATTTGATACATTTGATCAAAACAGTGGAACACCCTATACAACTCTATTCAGAAATGAAGTAGAGGTTCAATATGTAGAACAGAAGTACAATCCTTGCTCTATCAGAATGTGATCAGACCAGACCATCAGAAAAAGAAGCCAGTGAAATAACACAACTGCAACTTCATGCTTACGAACAAAGTGGATTGAGTAGAAACAAAGGGGAGAATCGAACAGTAACAGTGGCTTCTTAACCAAGCATAGAGTCAAAATTCATCCTTGCAACTACCTCTCTGTGCTTTGTAGATATGAACATCCTTACTGGAATCATAATGGACTTCATGTACAGAGAAACGCTCTCTCAGCATCTTCAAGAATCTGAGATCCCGTTCRTAGCGGATACGACAGGAAAGAAGAATCACCGTTTGCTCTGAGCACAGATGCTCCAGTGTCTGAAGCAGTTCTGGAAATGTTTCTTCCAGATAAACAATGTCTGCACCCAGGACGAAGTCAAATGCTCCTGGAGGGAAGTTATCCAGGTCTTTTCCCCACGTCAGCTCCTTCACCACGGCTCTGAGACGCAGTTCAGGGGGCAAGTTTGCCTGCACGTTTGACGCCAGGAACTCCAGTGCTGCYGCCCTGTCTGTGATGGTAACACGGGCACCTGAGGGGACAGGAGGACATGGCTCACACCAACAGTCCATGACCCTCAATACAGCTCCAACTCCAGCAAGCTCCTTAGCTTCTGTTAAACATTAACAGCTCCCCTGAGCTGCCTGATTAAAAACAAACAAACAAATAAACATAGCAAGCAAAACCCTGTGTACAGACATTCTACCTTCATCGGTAACTTAAAAATATACAGTGTCCTCTGCGTGAAGATTAAGTTTGGTAGGGAAAAAAATGTTTTCTGCTGCTCTTTCTTAATGCATAAAAGTCAAGGAGTTAGTTTTGGCCTTTCCATATGTGATAAAAGAGTAAGTTACAGGGGCTGTTACAATTAATCTTTCCCAATTCCTTATTTTTCTGTAGCAGAGAGGCAGCTAGAAAGCCTCTTTTACAGGTCAGACAAAAGTTATGCCTGTGTGATTTTGCATGGAATGACTATTTTGTTGAATTGTTTTGTTTCTATTATTCCAATAGGCACTTTTCACAGCCACTACAGCTTTGAATTACAAAGCTAACCTGACAGAGGTAGCATAAATTTAACATAGTACACAGTTGCTGCTTAAGCCACAGACAGATCACTGGCAGATCATTTCTCCAGGCCCTGGCTTCTCTGTCTGCAAGCCAGGCTAATGCAAGGCTTATACAAGCCAGAGAGTGGTTTCTGTCTGTAGCTTTATCTGCATCCAAGGACAAGTGGAAGATGGAAAGCACAGCACTTGTTCCCTGGGGGGAATAGCTGCAGAGMTGAATGCTGCTGAGTGCCTGCCATGGTAACAGGGTCCTGCCATAAAGTAAACTGCAGTGGTACCATCACAGCAACAAATATCACAGCAGGCTCTTGAGGCTAACAGGGAAGGAAGATGACTCAGGAAAGAACCATCAMAGTTCACAAATGCAGCTTTGGGGTTCGCTTCCATACCAGGCATGTACGTGTACAAGTACTAGTTCTACTACAGTTGCAAATAGCTTTAAACAAGACAGCAAATAAGCCCTTACCTAGTAAYGTGACCACTATTCCCAGTAATCCAGTTCCAGCTCCCAGCTCAATCACAGACCGATCCCTGAGATCAATGCCTTCCATCTCCAGATAAGCACACAGGACAACAGCCTAAGCCAAGAGACAAGGGCAATTAAGCACAGGGCTCATTTCAGTCAYACTGAACACAGGGTTTCTGGTTTAACCTGAGAGAGAAGGTTATGGGGAGGGTCAGGTGCTTCAGGTCTGCAGCACGTCTTTGTTCAGCCCTTTTCTGCCTCCTGTGTGCACATGTAATCTTTTTATGCATTTTATGGAAGACTCTTACTTCCTTACAAGAAGAAAGAAGAACCACAGAGGTTACAACTTAGATGTGGTAACTGCTCCATGAATGCCCAAACATAACAGGAGGTAGAAAGAATTGTACTTGGAAAGGAAAAACTGAGGGATTGTCAAACACTAGTGAATGAAYACAGTATTGCAGAAGTCCAGAATAAGGTTCCATAGGATCTTGTATGGTATTTCAAAAGGTTTCCGCACACCACTGGCATACTGTCAGGAAGGACAAGGGGAAAGTAAAGTAATAATACTTCTAGCTGGTTGTATCTAGCGTGTTATATGTTACATAGATCTTGGTAGGGACCTCTCCCCATGGCAARTTCTGTCAAAGCTGATGTCTGGAAAGATCAGCAGCCCTGTATACCAATTCATTTAAGAGGTTTGTTAAAAATGCTACGCTTGTTCTTTTAAACTAGAGAAAAARGTGCAAATTGTGCGTGGACTAAGATCCAACCCAATGGGAAGCCCTTGGATTCGTACAGTGATGCTGTGAGCTTGGACCTGCCACAATGCCCTCTGTTTTGGATGGCTCTTATASCCAAGATAAAGTCTATCGCCAGTCTTGCTTGAAGCTACAAGCAGTAGAATCCGTGCTGTGCTCTGAAGGRTGCCCAGCTAACATCACCAGCCACTGTGAAGAAATAGGTGAGAGTTATCCAGAATATTTCCTGTGTAGGACACTGGTCGTTCAGGGCTTAGGTGGGTTTCCTTTGCAGTCCTGCAGGATCTCTTATGAGGGAAGAGGGAAAGATAAAGCAGAGTTTAACATTTTCTTTTACCTAACATAAAAAAAAATTAAAAGCCTTCCCTTTACAGTTCAACGTTAAATAATTTTCTACGGTGAATTTGAAAACTCGGCAAGAGCCACAGGAAGTCACCGAGGGCAGAAAAGCTCCGCTTTGCCACGAACACCTACCGGGTCCCAGACCACGGCCGCCACGCCGAGCCGCCGCCAGTCCTGCTGGAGACGGATGGTGCGGCTGGCGAAGTGGAAAGTGGCCGAAGAGCTGTGCAGGTGCCGCGCTGCCCAGCCGCCTCCCTCCTCGTAGGGCACCARGGCCATCCCGCCGCCGGCACCGCGGCCTCGGCCGCCGCTTGGGCCCTGCTCGAGATCCGCGCTGCCCCGAGCCCGCCGCGGAGACGGAGACAGACCCGGCCCCGGCCCGGCCCACCCGCTCCGCCCGCGCCACAGCCCCGGGAGCCTGCGCGGAACCCGGCCCGGCCTCTCCGCACCGCCCGACTCAGCGGCCCAGGCGGGGCGGTCACAGCCCGGCTGCGCTGGGCTGGGCCGGGCTGGGCTGGGCTGGGCTGGCAGGGCCCCGGAGCGGCGGGAGCGGGGCCCAAGCGGCAGGCGAGGCTGCTCGGGGCCGGCACCGCGGAGAAGGGGAAGGGGAAGGGCCGTGCCCACGCCCGGAGCCGGGAGGGTCCCGGGGCGGCCCGCGGGGAGGGGCCACACGCTGCCGATGGACCCGGAGGGGTTCCTCTCCTGCTCACAGCCACTGCCACCCGAAAAGGTACSGGGAGACGGTTCCGCACCCTGTGAGACATTGTAAGCTGTCCCCGTGGTGCCAGCCTCTGGCTTTTGCCTCGGGGGGTTTTTGAAGTCAGTGCCCAGGAAAGGCCTTTGTCCAGCCCAGCATTGCTGGCACGGTGAGCATTATCTCTCATCACAGGCTGGAAGCGGCCCCTCAGTCGCTGGGTAAACAGCGCAGAAGCACAACAATGGTTCTTGTGCATCTCTCTCAGTGGAGCATTGACCAGGCAGCACAGCCACAACTGCTCTCGGCTGCCGGYGTGGGGGAAGCGCTCCCCGGCACTGTTTGACTATGGGCTGCTCYTCACCTTTGGCTCAGTTTAATCTCTTGTCTGGCAAAACAACACAGTGTTCCCTGAACTAGCTCCAAAGACTCGTAAAGGCCATGGGAGAGCCGGGGAAGTGTCCTGGCAGCATTCATGCTCTGGCTACCTGGAGGCAGTGCCTGCAGCCACCCTCTTCAGCCCCTGAGAGGGGCAGGGGACACATCTYCTCTGCCCATCTCTAGTGGCTCTGTGCCCTGACAGCTCCCGGTGACACCACCGGGATGTGGCAATGCCACATCAAAGCTTTCCCACAGGGACCAGCAAATCTGTCTGGAGACAAAGGCAAACGCGGTTACACCTAAAAACTGTCCATTTCAACRGTGGGTCAAGATTCATTAAAACCTCTGTGGAGGATAATTACAGGTTGCACAGGGGTAGCAGAAAGTAAAGCTTGCTTTTAGGGTTCTGCTACTGTAGAAGAATGRAACCCAAAATTTCAGTTGCCCCAAACCAGTCCAYGCTTGTCTTAYGGCAACTCAGACTTCTCCCCATAAACATGCCAGAACAGGTGTGATGAATCAGCTTTCTGTGGTTTTGTGTCCTAAAGTGCTGGTCCCTTGCCACTGTTCCTGCTTTTGAGAGTTTGAAATTGCTTGTGCTATTATCTTGATTATTTTTTAATTATTTATATAGGCAGTGTGGGAAAAGCARTGAGAGTGATTAGACTTGAAATGAGGATCCTGTTTGAATGATTTTTTGAGTCATCTACACTGTGCCTAAACTACACCATCAGGCAAATAGAGGGAAACTCCTTAATGGCATAAAGCTTTCACCTCCATCTACTGCGCTGCATGCCAACCCTCGGTTCTTCAACCAAAATGTGACCGAGTGTGGCAGGGCTCCAGTGCTCCCAATGCCTCCTTCGTGGCCCCTCCTTCTTCCCCTGCAGTATTTCATAAAACCAAGTGTCTGGCTGAATAGCAACTAGAGTAAAAAAAGGCTGCATGTGAAAATGTATTGTTCCAAAGATGACAATGCAGTGAGTGCTTTTATCCCAATAATGTGACTTGGTTAGTCAGATATCCCTGAATATCTCTGGAGCGCAGCAGGTTCTCTACCATTTCTGCCCTGCTTCCCAGAAGTATTTACCCTCCTTCCCTGATAAAGTTGCTCTGGCACTGACTTTGTGACCCTTAGACAGGAGATCAGAAATTACTTTCTGGATCATAACTGTACAGTGAGGCTATCAAAAGAGAAGCAAGTCCACTACAAGGTTAGTAAGGGCCCTGATTCCCCATATTCCTTCTAAACCRATATTTACCTTCTCTTCCCCTTTCCATATCCATTTTCTAAGAAGATGGAGTACCTGGGTATTATAGTGGCAGAGAGAGACATTTGGTTTCTTCTATCTTTCCTGACAGTAAAAGGATAAGGAAAAYGCAACAATACAGAATTACACCTTGTTGTGGGTTAAGGTTTCTCCTTTTGTTTCCTTTCTTGGGGAATTTTTTCTTTCCCATGTTGTTGCTGGGATACACTGATTGCCAGGTCATCCTTTTGATGGCTCGGTGATTGGGGAAGACAGTGAAACCTATGCTCCACCCAAACGATCTTGCTGACCACTCCTGCTGCCTGGCAGGTTTTTGGTTGTTTTTTTTCCTCTGTTTGGGAGAGAGGGAAGTTCTCGCAGGAGTTTTTGGGCTTGGGGAAGGGGTGTGTGTGTGTATGTGTGGCGGGGGGGGGTAACTTCACTTCCTGCCCTGCTTGGCTCAGAGGAGGAGGTCAACCTGCTGCCTGTTGGGGAGAGCTTGCCGGCTCTTTTCTGCAGAGCCCAGCGTCTCTGTTCGTTGGTTCCTGTTTGCTGCACTGTGATCTTCTGCCCCTCTGCCTTGCCAGGGACCCCTGAGATTCCAGCTGTAGTGGTTGAGTTCTGCTGCATCCCATCTGCAGTTGCGGGATTCTGCTCGTCTCTTTGCTCAACTGGCCGTTCTGGGGTTTCTTGCTGTCCAGAGGGAGCATTGGGATCATCATTTTCCGCTGTGAGTTTGCAGAGGAACTTTTCCCCATCCATCTCTGCCGGTTTGTATCCGCCATTGGCCACGCGGGAGATCTGAACCAGCCGGGACCCGCCCACAGCGCCCCCTGCAGCCACCGGGGAATCATCGCACCCGCCCTGCCCGGCCGGGAGCCAACAGCGCCCCTGCTGRCTGGGACTGGAACTGCACCAAAGGGGAGGGTGTGTGTGTCTCTGTGTGAGGCTGTCACTGGGTTTGTGGCTGGGTTGGTTGTTGCTATCGTTGTTGTTACTTGTTTCACCTTGTTATACATATTAGTAAAAACTGTTATTCCCTTTTACCCATATTCTTGCCTGAAAGCCCCTGATTTTCAAAGCTACAATAATTCGGTGGGAAGGGGGGGGTCATATCCACCACTCCAAGGTGGGGGGGTCCCTGCCTTCATTGGCAAACATCTGYCTTTCAAACCAAGACACAGCTAAAACAGATGCCCAGAGTTGAAATGCTTTTTTCCCAGCAGGGCTAAAGCTCAGCACAGTGAAATGGTAAGGACRTAGCTTGGTGTAGTTTTTGAGCACTGCAGAGGGCTGTAAGGACGCTTGAGCTGCAGGTAATCTTGCAAAGTAGGAAACAGCTGATTTTAAAGTAAGCAAGAATGATTCAAAGTACGAAGAAACACAGATTTAAGTCCATTCTTACCTCATTCAACTACATGATAGAGCAGGCATAATGTAGCCAATTATGAGTAAATCCTGCCACCTCGGATTTGGGTAAGCTGCTCGGGGTAATTAAGAAACAGTGTTTAAGTGCAATGGTCCTTGTAATACTTAGAAGATCAAAGAACAAACTAGGTGAGATATAAATTAGTACAAATTATTTTGAATCTATACTAATATAACTCTCTATCTGAAATCTTGTCTTTGCTGCTTAGCATGTAAAATCCTCTCTTAGAAATGAATSTGACAGTTCTTGTGATATTTCTGCAGACACTGGATGCACTGCATTTCTGCGCATGGATGAGCCATCCATGATGGGAAAATACTGCATCCCTCACACAGGCTCTGGTTACCAAGGCAAAGGCAGGTATAAATAGAAACAATCTGATTTTTTTTAAAACTCTATCTAGAAACCTGTGTTGTTGATAACCCTCTGACAGCAAYGCCTTATTCCAAATGGTTCTGTTCTACATTTGTGTGGAAACTTCTGGTTTAAGCCTTTCCTCCCAAAATAAACAGCCGCTACTTCCGGTCATCATTCCACTGAAATATGAAAATTGTCTTGGAAATAAAGTTTGGACAAATATCTGTTTTGCTAAGAGCTTTCATCAATCAAATGAACAACAGCTAACACAAAAAAGCTTGAAGGAAAACTTTCCTAAAGCTTGAAGGAAAACTCAGAAGAAAGTGGTCTTTCTCCCTAAAGATCACTGTAAGGGGCCATTCAAATGACTAGCACTGAAATGATTTAACAAGTCTTACATTTTCATCTTCACCAGTAGAAGAATCTTCCAGATTCTCCACCAGTAAAATAGATGGGGTGGAGAATCACTCAGTGTTAAATACAAAGGCAATAAAGCAGAGATTCATTTGGTTGATGACAGCTTGCAGTTGCAGAATCAAGACAGCCTCAGCTTGAAGTGATTTGGATCATCTTTGAAACCGATGGGGTGAATTAAAAATAAAAACTTAGGTTTCTGCAGAAACTGKTGGTTATCAGTAGATGTTACAACTTGCTGCTTCTGCAATGTCCTTGCAAAAAAAWGTGAAATATTGAAATAAATGCATTATCTGATCTAGCATGTAATTTCTTTTACACACAGTTACATTAAAACAGTGGAAGTAATGATCAAAAATATGAAGATGTATAATTTCTTAAGTGTTTGAGCTGAAACACAGGAAGTTTCTGGAACCACTGAAGAGGGAATTGTTCCCATCAGTAATATTACATTCATGCCTTCAACACTGCATCTTGATAATGAAAGTGTCTTGTTACAGAAAGATCACTTAGCTTTTAGTAGAATTACGTGAGTGAGCTGTCAAAGGCCTTGCAGGTTTGAAAGCTGATCTTGTTCTGAAGTTTTAATTAAAGARCAAAAAGCAAACTGAAGTTCTTCTTCACAACCAACCACTGGAGAGGAAATTACAGTGCAAACAATACACTATTAACTTAAAACTAGTTAACAACAACTAATTTTAAAYGAAAACAATTACATGGACAGGCAGACAACAGGTATAGCATTCATATAGATGCAAAGGCATCTGCCTCAGTGCAGATGTTACCCTTTTAAAAGAATGAAGAATCCAAGCATATGAAAAATGTGGRCAGTTTAGTGTTATTTCTAATGGTATTGTCAATGTTTC